TACCCTGCTTCCTAGAAACTTTTAAAATTTATTAGTTTAAAAAAAACCCCAACAACAGAAAACAAACCACAAATAAACATTTAAACCAATCCAAAGGAAAGCAGCTTAATAAGATTTTCTGAATGATGATGAGTCTTGGACAAAGTTTGCAGGAAGACCAGAAATTAATCTGAAGATGCCTGTTTCCCACTGCCTGTTTTATCCACTGTACCTCTCGTTTCCCTACAGCTAGAACTATGCAAGTTCTTTCATTTGAAAATAATTGTGTTGTTTTCTTGTTTACAGAAAATATGCCCCCTCCTTGAAAATTTGGCCTTAAACAATTAGAGCACATAAGTACTTACATGTAAACAGGAACTACCTCACATAATGATAAATGATTTTGCCTTTCTTGGTGCTCTGAGTAAATCCGAATCAATGGCATCACGGTCACATCAAATGCCACATTTCTGAATGACAGCAGCCTCCAGCAAAAGGCCTGATGAGCCTGAAGATATCTGAACTTGTTGCAATGGAAATAAACCAATCCAGTTTCTGGTGTTAAACTCTGGAGAAACGCCCAGATTCACCTTCAAACTGCCATTCCATTTGCCAGTCACTGGGTCCCCCCTGTCCTGTCTAGCTCACTGCCATCAGCACAGTAGTCCTTTTATTCCTGGCCAATGGACCCTCATCAGCAACCATCCTACTGTGGCAGGAATTATGGCTTCAGCAGTTCCAGGAGCCTGGAAAGATTTGGGTATTTTCTTCACTTCTTTGAGACAGGAACAGACCAAGAGCTACATGCAGTCACAAACTTCAGGCAGGCTGCTACAGCAAAGGGTTACTCTGTCCTGTTTCCTCTGACACATCAAGAATGTGACTATTTGAGAGATGCAGTCAGACTTGAACCTGAGTTTAAAGGTGTCAGTGAACTGTGCTGAGATCACACAGTCAGATCTTGTCTAGTTTCATAGCAATTTCACTTCTTCAAAACAGTCAACCTGAGCAAGCACCTTTTGAATTATTCAGCTAGATACCAGCTGTTTTTATTTAGCTTTCAGAAACAGAATCACAGTTTGTACCCAGATTGGTGCTATTTTTGAGTCAGTGTGCAGAGATACCCTCATCTGAGAGCCTTGGTCTAAACTCAGGATAAAGTAGCATGGGTACATCTTGGATACATCATCTTGGATACATCTTAAATCAGATGCTTTTCACTCTACTAGAAATGGCAATGTGCCTTTTTTTTAAGGAAGGAGATAAATTCTTAAACATGAGAAAAAAATAGGTCTGGGAAGGAGGTAAGACATAATGTTCTGGTCCACTGTTATATTGTCCTTTGGTTCAAATAAACACACTTAGAAGGAAAGATGTAACACAAGCCATTTAGAGCCTCATTATGTTCTTTTGCCAAGTAGGGGGGTTAAGCTGTGTTTGCAAGAAACATGGAGGAGCTACCACAGGGGGAGAAAGGATACTAGGAGTTAGTGTACTGGTAGGAAAAAAAGGCATAGGATTCAGACTAGTATAATCTGGTCAAAGGTGCTGCATTAGCCACGCTTTGAGTTGTGCCTGCTGAGGGGATTTAATGCTGTTGGTGTCCTGTGGGTTGGTTACTATAGATTCAGTGAATGCTACTCCTTGTCTTGCAATGTTTATGTACAGCGCACAAAACAGAGCAGTTACTGACCAGGAAATTACTAAGTATCTTTTTTGCCATGGTATACCCATCTTGGAGAAAACTACATGTATTTTCCTCATGTTGGTGACAAAAATGCTACCGGATGTTTAGAGTTCTTTTGAGGGCCCTGGAAAGCAGAGGTTGAAATGGCAGGAGGTGGATAATAATTTTTGAACTCTGGCATATTAAGATGATCACAACATGTGTAGACCCAGGAGGTCTCATTGTAATACCTTGTTAATGTCTTCAAAGCTTTGCAGGGACCTTTATGAAGTTATTCTGCATGAAAAAAATTAACCTCATAGGTACATTCAATAACTAGATACAACAAGCAGAATAAAAGAGCCCTTGGGAGGAGGGTTGAGCTCAAATCTGCTTCTTTTTCCACTTTTTTGTGGAGGCAGATGTGGGAGAGAAGGGGCTGGCCACATGAAGCCTCTTCACTCACATGGCTGATCCTGTGTCACATATGATGTAAGTGTGTGTGTCACAACAGCTAGCAGAGAGGCTGGGGAGGCCTCTGGCTCCATCCTGTCCTTTCCACTCAGACAGGCCATGAGAAGGGGCTGGCCACATGAAGCCTCTTCACTCACATGGCTGATCCTGTGTCACATATGATGTAAGTGTGTGTGTCACAACAGCTAGCAGAGAGGCTGGGGAGGCCTCTGGCTCCATCCTTTCAGACAGGCCATATCTGCTGGCAGTATAACACAGGAGCACAAAGCCTGCAAATGTGTTCAGCACTGCTGACTCTCAGGGAACCCTGCATTGCTGTTGGAAAAGAAAGAAAATACAATACTGTCTATGTATGCAATCACATCACACACTGCTTCACAAGGATGGGAAGGAAATGAAATTATACACAGGGGAAGTAGATCTGATTACTGAAAATTATATATACACTCTTGAGGTGAACAGTCTTCATCTAATTTGCAGGTAAATTAATGATTAACAAAGAATCATGATCTATTAAAATAAATTTTAGCGACAGACATATGCAGCATATTATGCTGATTTTTTTTCATTTAAATCTTCAATTCTTTTCTATATCTGTCTGTGTGATATGAGATAAACTGATGGAGAAACAGCAGATTTAGAAAAATCAGTGTCCTAGCAAAGATGAAGAGAAAAAATTGTCACAGTACAAGAATAAACTAAATTATCTACACTGAAGTTAAAATGGAAATAGTAACTTCATTTTTTCACTCAGCACACAAATGAATTCCCTCACCATTACCACAGGAAGTTGCAGAGGCCACAGGCAGGAAGGGAATGCCATGGAGGACAGAATAAATAATTAGTGGTGTGGGATTCACTGGTGACAATGACCATGTGTGGCTGTAGAAATCCCTAAAATAACTACTGGGGTGAAGGCACGGCAGGTAAGGGGCAATTTTTCTTTGCCCTGTGTGCTGAAGCGTGGTTACACCTGCCAGGGGCCTCTCAGAGCAGCTTTGGCAGAGGCTCTAGCAACGGTGGCAGGGCAGTAGGAGGGAATGACAGCTGCAGCAATCTCAAGTCGGAGATTCCACATAGCTGTGGAAATACACCTCTTCACAGCCATCCACCACTGGGGCCCATATCCAAGAAATGATCCAGTGTTAGCCAATCCTACAGTCAGACACCAGTTGCGATTCCTAAAATCTACTTTTCTTTTACATTGATCTTCATTATAAAATCCTTTCAGTAAATTTGCTTTCTTTCACCTTTTCTGAAGGGCTACTACTTTTCTTTCCAAAGCAATTACACTGGAAATATGGTCTATTAGGGGAAAAAAAAAAAAGGGGGGGGGAGTATCTTTGGTGATACATCCTTGTGAGGCTTTGTTCTGGGTACTTCCTGTAGTGAGAGACTTGTCTCATTGCAAGCAACAAGGAACAGAGAAATATTTGCTATTTATGTATATATTCACATATGTAACTGTTGTGTAGCCTGACTTCCTGCAGCTATCTGGAAACAACAACTTGTGTCACCAAAGAGTCCCCAGAAAAACAATCCGTTTGCCACCACTGGACTTTATTATAATGGGAGAACTCAAACCACACAGGCAGGAAACCATAAAACCCCTCAAGTCAACTGTAGCCAACGGCCAAGGGGCCTGGAGGGGCAGCGGGAACCGGAGCCAGGCAAAGGGGGGGACGCAGTCCCAGGCCCGTTGCTTGCCAGTGGCTGTAGCTGGATGTTGTTGCCTGTCGCCTGTCCCATCACCACCCCTAGCAGTTTTTTCCGACGATTTCCAGCAGTGCCCAGACCCAAGGGGAAGTTAATCACTAACCGCACCGCCTGGACACAGCAAGGTGCCCCGGCCGGGCGGGGCTGGGCGCACCCCTCCGGGGGCTGCCTGTCGGGCCGGGCGGGGATGCTCCGGGGGACACGCGAGGCCACCGGCACAGACATGGGATTTGCAAATGACCCTGGACAGGAAAGGCGTTGTATGCAAAGGGGGCTAACCGGGAAAGCTACCAGGCAATGAGTGGCGCGGAGCTGCTGATGGGGTTTTTTACAAGGCAAATACAACCCAGGAATTCACGGGGATAAGGCAGAGCAAACATTAACCTCCTGCGCCGGTGGCTTTGCGAAACAGCCGCTACCACGGCTCTTTTCGCTTGCTGCTCCTTTTTCATGGAAAAAGAGTTCGTGGCTCTAAGCCAGCTGTAAATTAACAGCTAAGTGAAACCATTATGTCAGTGGGATGCTTTAATCGGTTTACAAAACACTGCTCGAGGTACGATGCATATTCGCAGGCAGGAAGGGAATGCTGGCGGGTACCCGGGACGTCGAAACCCAGCGGGGTCACCGGCCTCGGCCCCGTCTGGCGGCCAGCGGGGAGGAGGGGACAAGGACCTCCCCGTGAGCCCCCAGCATCCCTACGGCTGAGGGCCGGATTTTTGTTTACGCTTTGCCTTAGTAAGTCTTCATTAAAGTGCCCCGGAGAAACTATTTTGGATGGAGGGTGGGCGGCGGGGCCCCACTGCCGCTCGCTCGTTCGCGCCGGCCGCTCTCACGCGAAGCGCCAGGGCGGAAAGGAAAACATAAGGGTAGGGGGAATCCCTTTAAAGGGGAAAATAATCTCAACCCGCGGTCCGCCAGGGCGAGCTGCCCCGGGGGGCGAAGCGAGGCGCCGGGAGGTGGGAACCCCCCTGCCCTGGAGCCGCCGAGCCCGGGCCCCGCAGCCCCCGCCGGTACCGGCGCTCCCCGGCCGTGCCCCGGTCCCGGTCCCGGGTGGGCGGTTCGGCAGCGCGGCCCCTCCCTGCCCGGCCCCTCCCGTCCGGAGGGACAAACACACCTGCCCCGAGGGGCCTGGCGGCGTAGCAATGATGACAAGGGCAGCCCAGTGTTAGGGTTCAGTTCCAGCTGATTTTATTTCCTTCCCGAAGAAAAAAAAAAAAAAGGAAAATAAAAACAAACAAAACAAAAAAGAGAGGTTATTTACAGAAGGTATATCAACAATCTGACAGGCAGTGAACTTGACATGGTTAGCTGGCATGATTTTTTTTCTTTTTTTTTCCCTTTCCCCACGTTGTGTTGTGGGTGACCGTAGACCAAAAAAAAAAAAAAAAATCTACACAGCATATTGCACAGGATGGATGACCAAAAAAGAACAAAAAAAAAAGAACAAAAAAGTTAAACCCTTAACGGAACCACCTCATTAGGCAGACGTCCTAGTGCCTGTCATGTTATATTAACATACATAAACACACAATCTTCTTTTTTGCTTATTATAATACAGACTTAAATGTACAAAGATGTTTTCACTTTCTTCATCTTAAACACAACAGCTATAAACCTGAATACATATGCTATCATCATGCCATAAGAGACTAAAACAATTATATTTAGCGACAAATAGAAAGGATTAAATAGTCAAATACAAGAATGAAAAACGCAGTACATAGTGTCGCGAACTCAAACCGGCATTTCGATAGATCCAGTGGTTTAAACGGCACGTTTTTGCTTAGAAAAAAAGTGCAAAAGATGTGGTTTACAAGTTAAAGGTACAGGATCCCTTCTGTGTAAATGCACCAGTTGCTTCACTTCATCCGGGGACAGGTGGCTCCCCAAAACGGTAGCATACAGTGTAAATCCCTTCCCCGGGCCCCCAGCCGCCCCCTCCGCCAGAGGCGGGGGGCTGCGGAGCGGGCAGCGGCGGGGGCGGTGAGGGATGCTGTCACTTTAAGATGCCTGCAGATTGGAGTGTAAACATGGACAAAATAGGGGCTGATTCGTGGGTGTGTGAGAGTGTGAGTGAGCGTGAGCGCGCACACGCGTGTGAGATACTAACCAGCGGCCCTGTTGTTAAAATCAGGAAATCCAAACAGCGATTTACACCGATTTACACCCCCTTTATATATTTTTTACAAAAATACACTGAGAAAATAATCAAACGTTTTCATCTCTCTTCTCTTTTTGTTTTTAAAAGTGTCAAAAGTCTACATTTAAATATAAAAAATTAAAAGTTAAAACTCTAGCCCTTCAGTGAAGGAGACATAAAAATGGTGCGGGTAACAACGAGAACTACCAAAAAAGGACAAAGAAATACAAAGTCAAAAATGTTTGGCCAGTATAAATACGTCCACTTATAAAATGGCATCCGATTACATTTACAAGGAAAAAAAAAACAATACGAGGATGGAGCATCGGTGAGAAAAAACAGTCTTTTCATTTACAGCTATAAGGAACAAACACATACATACTCTGAGAAAAAATTTGGTCCTGAATTTTCATTTTTTTAAAGTCCAGCACAGATTTGAGTTGCGTTTGAATCCTTTAAAGAGTTAAGAATGAAAAAAAGCTGGTGATATTTTTGTAGGAATCAAACATAGCGCCATCTATCTGCTTTTATATTATCCTAACACTAGTTTTGTTTTTTTAAACTGTTCAACAGTCTTACAGAAATCTTGAAAAGATAGACAGAATAACATGCTATATTAAACCCCACCAGTGAAATAATCCAACACCATCACGATTCTGAGTAAGAAGAAAAAAACTACTTTTTTTTTGTATTTTCGCTTTTTTTTTTTCCTTTTTTTTGCAAAAGCCATCGCCCTCAGTTTCCCCTGTACCACATCATGACAGAAACTGTTCCCATTCGGTCTCTGTTTCAAAAGAAGTTTTCAGTGTTCTTGAAGTTTCAGCCTTATTTTTCTCTCTACATATTACATGAGGTGACTGAGAAAAGCGCTGCCGCCACCTTATCTGTACGTGCAAATCCATTTCAGTTTATTATTATTTACCCCCACCGTATTTCCAAGATAGCTCTCAAGTGTAAGTCTGGCTCTTCTCCGCTTAACTAGGATCTCAGTCCAGCTCCATCCACCTCCTCCTCCTCCCAGCATTGTTGCCTCTTCTCACCGCAGAAGAAACCGGGACAGGATTTCTCCCCGCAAATGTGAACTTTGCGAAGGATTTGGGTGGATTTTCTGTTCCTTTTTTTTTTTTTCCCAAGCAGTTCTGATCGCTCTTTCTTTGGAAAGGGCGAATGCTCAAGACATCCAGTGTGCTCTCAGCACAACACATCGCTCCCCCTCCTCTTTATTCCTATAAAATGGGCAATAATAAAGAACCCAGAGGTGTGTGTGGTTTCCCCTCCCTCCCCCTTTCTCTGTCTCTCTTTTCAGGAAATAAAAAAAGGGAAAAGGACAGCGTCTCGCTCCCGCCAGTCTCTCAAAAAGCACCGTCAGGCTCCTCTCTCGGAGGGGGTGTGTGCGAGTCCGTCTGCAGCCGGAGGAAGGGGACTGCTGGCCTTTCCGCAAGAAGAGGGCGATCCCGCTCCTTCCCCAAGCTCAAAAAGCAGTCTTTCAACAGCCCCTTCCCAGAAACAAACAAAACACTTCCTCCCTCCCCAAAAAACCCCAAAATACAAACACCGAACAAAACAGAAAAAGACACAAAAGCGCCTGGCGGGGTGGGCGAGTCCTGCCGACAGCCACGCGCGCCGGTGCCTCCTCCAGCAGGGCCCGGCTCTCGCCTCAGTAAGTGAAGACCAGGTTGGAAATGCTGGACTCCAGCCAGTCCCCCGAGATCATCTCACTTACCTCCGGCGTGCAATAGTCCGGGAACTCAAAGTGCGAGCCCGAGCCAGGCTCGAAGTTAAAATCCAGGTCCCGGTCCAGCACCGAGGAGCTGAAGCTGCCCAGGGACATGCTCTCAAAGCCGGGGCTGGGGTTCAGGTCCAAGAGGTCGTCCTCAAACTCGTCGTCCGACGAAGAGGAGCCGGAGGAGGAAGAGGAGGAGGAGTGGGAGGACGCGGAGGAGGAATGCGCCGTCGAGGGGGCCGGGGAGGAGGCACGCAAGCTGGTGTAGCTGCGGTGATCCGAGGGCGAGCCGGAGCCGGAGGGCGAGGGGCAGGCGACGCCGCCGCAGTCCCCGTCGGGCCGGCCCGCGCCGCCGCCCCCCTCCTCGTAGAGGCTCAAGGGGTCGCCGGCCTCAGCCGAGCTGCTCAGCGTGGGGCTGCCGGGCACGGCGCCGCCCGGGGAGGCGGAGGCAGCCGCCGCCTGCCCGCTCCCGAAGATGTAGACACGCTTCAGCTTCTTCTCGGCGAGCGGCTTGCCGGGTCCCGAGGGCGCGCCCGCCGCCCCCCGGGGCTTGTAGAGCGCCTGGTGCTCGGGCGGCAGCAGCGCGGCCGACGGCTCCCCGGGGAACGGGGCGGCCTTGCCCCCCGCCGCCTTGCCGTGGGGCTTGGGGCCGCCGGAGCCGCCGCCCGCGCTGCCCCCGCCGGCGCCGCCCCCGCCGCCCTTGTCCGCCTTGTCGCCGGGCTTGGCGGAGCTGTTGCCCGACTTCACCTTCTTCCTGGGCCGGTACTTGTAGTCAGGGTAGTCCGCCATGTGCTTGAGGCGCAGCCGCTCCGCCTCCCGGATGAAGGGGATCTTGTCGCTGTCCTTGAGCAGCTTCCAGCGCTTGCCCAGGCGCTTGGAGATCTCGGCGTTGTGCATGTCGGGGGACTGCTCCATGATCTTTCGCCGCTCGATCTGTGACCATACCATGAAGGCATTCATGGGCCGCTTTATGTGCCCGCTGGGTGTCTTGCACCAGCTCGGGTCATCCGCCTTGCCCCCCGTGGAGGCGGTGGAACCCGGCGTGGGGGAGGAGGCGATGCCCAGCTCGATGCCGGCCCCGGAGTCGGAGGTCTCGGCGGCCAGCAGCGCCTCCGTGTTCTCCGCCGTGTTGGTCTGCTGCACCATCGCGGCGGCGGCGGCGGGGGGCTCGCCGGGGCTCAGCGCCGCTCCGGCGCGGGGCAGGGCACGCAACTTCTCACAGCGGCACCGGGACGGCGCAGCCCCCCGCGGCCGCGCCCCCGCTCCCCGCACCACTTGTACTTCCACACCGGCGCCTCGTCCCCGGCGGCGCGGTCCTCTCCCCCTCGAGGCAGCGGCGGCGGCAGCAGCAGGAGCGGCGGGGCCGCCCGCGGTCAGACAAGAGTTTCTGCAAAAGCAGCGCCGCGAGCCGCCCGTCCAAGTTTGCTTTTTTTTTTTTTTTTTTGGGGGTTTTTTTTTTTTTTTGTGGTGGTTTTTTTTTTTTTTTTGGAGGGGGGTGTCGGTCTGCTTTTTTTCCTCACCACATCGGGTTTCCCCCCTCCCCGAAGCAGCTGGTCCAGTTCACAAGCGCGTTCCGCCTGCCCGCGGCGTTTCAGGAGAGCGGCACTCCTGCCGCCGAAAGTCTCTCAGCGCTGGGCACGGCCAGCGTGCACCGCCGAGGGGGAGGGGGGAGGCGGCGCGCCCCCGAAGCCCCGAAAATCCCGGCTCCAGGACCCGTGGTGGCGGCGGGGTCGGCGGCCAGGAGTTTGTGCAGGTTGGATTTGTCAGTTGCGAGGTACCGGGCGACAAGGAAACCCCTCAGGATAAGGCAAAAAAAAAAAGGAAAAAAAAAGAAAAAAGAAAAATAAGAAATAAGAAGGCAAAAATAATAATAATTGAAAAAATCGCCGTAAAAAAAGAAAAATAAAAGAGCGCTCGTGCATGAACGAGTGTGTACGTCCCCGGCAGGAAGAGCGGCGAGCCGGGCGCCCAGCTCCGTTCTCCTCCTCGTCCTCTGCCGACGGCGGTGCTGCTGCTTGCCGCTCCGCGCCCGCGGAGCCCCGCGGAGCCGCCGCCGCCCCCCGCGCTCGCCCGCCGGGCGCTGCCCCGCGCCCCCCGCACGCCGCGCTCCGCCGGCCGCAGCTGAGAGCGGACCCCGCGCCCGCCCCGCGCCGCTTTATCCTTTCGCAGCCCGCCCCGCGGCCAATCGCGCGCTGTATCCAACGCCCTCCGCGTGCCAAGCCCCGCCCGCCTCCCCGGGATTGGCGGCCGGCGCGGAGCGGTAATAATGGCCGCGTGCAATGGGAAGCGCCCGCGCTGACCTCATTCCCGGCGGCGGGGCGAACTTTTTAAAAGGGGCAGGAGGGCAGCTCCGCGCGCCGCCCCGCGCCTCGCGAAGAAGAAGAAAGAAAGGGAGAACGGGGAACCAAGGCGTCCCGCCCCCGCGCGCCGCGGCTGCGGGGCGGCGAGCGCGGACACCTGCCCGCACAAAGGGCCGGGACGCTGCTCCCGCCGCCCCGCAGCCGCCGCACGCCCAGCGGGCAGCGCTGCCCGGGGGATGCCGGAGGGCGCCCCGCGCCCGTCCCCACGCCCACACGCGGAGTGTCACGGAGGGGTCGCCAGCCCTGCAGAAGCGCCCGGGAGGCGCTGCCGTCACGCCACCTCCGCCGCGGAGCCGGAGCGGAGCGGAGCGGCGCAGGGGGTGGGACGGCACCGGCGGCGGGCACCTCCCGCGGGGCGCCGGGCCCCGCACCGGGCAGGGCGCTGAGTAACGCTACCGCCCGCCCCAAATTCCCCGGCGCGGAGCGAGGAAGAGGTGTTGCCCTTATCGCGTTTTTACCCTCCGACCCCTCTCCTGCGTTTCGCTACCTGCCGCTCCCGCATGCCGCGCTCCCACCGAGACGCCCGATCCCGGGGACAGGCTGCGACTGGGGGTCCCAGCCCGTCCCCTCCGGGTCCCCAGAGAGCGGGAGGGGCCGCGGGAGGAAGAAGCGGGGCGCAGCCGGCAGGCAGGTACGGCCCTGGCGGGGAGGTGCTGCCGCGCCTCTGCCAGTGCGCCCCGCCGAGCAGGGCCCCCCCTCCCCGCCTCCCCAGGGTTCTTCCCGGGCTGAAGGTGCTCTTCTGGTATTGCTGTTCGGTCTCATGCGCCCCTCCCTCTGTCCTGCAACGATCAGTAATGAAGAAAAGCAGGGCAGCGAGGTCAGGCGCTGTGCAGCACCCCCGCAGGTCTTGTGGCATCAACCTCCCCTCCAATATTCAGGTAAAGGGGGCAGTAAGACCATAAAAACAATGGTAGTGTTACTTCCCAAAGATTCCTCACATCACTCATCAGGCCAGGGACCAGAAAAGCTATTAGGCAAAACACAGCACCAGTTAAAACTATATTTTTCTTTTTTTTTTTTCTACACAACACCCATTAGAAACACCTTTTTTAAATCAGAAGCAAAATAATGGTTGGATATAGCTAAAATATCTAAGAGGTCTAAAAATAAGTTGTATATAGTTGCAAGAAAATTTATGGTAGGATCCTTTAGCAGAGCTTCTAGCTGGATTGAGAACAGGCTTTGAATATTAAGATCTCACACTGGACTCAAAGAACACGGCTGTGAAGTGCTGAGAAAAATCCTGAATTCTCAGTACCTCCCTGGGTAGGCCACCTACATTACTGAGACTGTTTACAAAGATACAAATTAAATTATAGCTTTGCTTGCAAAAATAATACATTGGTTCCTCATACAGCCTCTGGTCAAGATTGGATAAAATATTGCTTTCCTCTAGGCTGACGACATCCAGTGACATCAGTGGAGTTTCTCACCTTCACACTTTGTAAGTAGTAAATTATGCTGTGTTTTTCCCCTGCAGCCCCAAAGCTAAGATCAAATCTGTTCTACCCTCTACAACCAACATCTACAGAAAAGGAGGCTCACTGTGGGTTTGGTGTCAGGAATAAGCCCTGGCTTTTGCTTACACTCTTGGTATTCATGTGCAGCAGCATGAAAAACTGGGACTGGGAGCAGTAGCTTCTGGCTGCTCCACCTGTCAGCATGGTATCCAGCAGGATTTCAACCCCCAACTGTTGTATTTTACATATAAATATCAATTTGTTTAAACTACAAAGCAAGTAAAATATTCCCATGTTTCCAGACACAAATTAAAGCAAAACAAATAAACCCCAAACTGATAGGCAAACAAAAAAGAAAAAGCGTAAGAAATTTTTCACTTGTTTATGTTAAGTTCTGCAAGGTCTTGACCACCATGAATAAAATTCATCTCCAGGTGAGGAGTTGTCTTCCTGATCAAAGCAGCCACATCAATTTAATATTGGTTCAAAAAGTGGGGATGGATGGAAGACTATTATTTCCTGAACAAAAACTCCACAAAAGTGAAATTTAGGGCTACTTAATAAAGCAAGTGTAAGAACACGATGTGAAACTCTATAAAAAGCATTTTACAACAATTTCTTAGCTGTTTCCTCAAAGTTAATTGTTTCCACCCCTCATCCTCCAGTGGCGGACTGAAAATACTTTCCAGCTCCCCAAATTTTTTAAGCCTAGGCATAAAGCACGAGCATTCAACTTCCGTCTAAAAATGAAGTTTTAAGAGTATTGGCAAGGCTTCTCCTCGTTTACAACTTAAAAACCCTTGAAACTCCCTTTCTGTTTCCTGCAGGCTCCGTGAGGCCGGGGATGCGGCGCGGGACGCGAGGTGGCAGCGCTGAGCCTCTTCTGCCAGACGTGGGAAAACGCGGAGCTAGCGAACATGCGATTATTATTGTTTTAATTTTTTTCCCCCCTGTGGTTTTATGAAGCAGCATAAGCTGCAAGTTTCTGACTGAAATTCGGTGGGTTTCCGTCAAAGAGCGGCAGTGCCCACGCAGTCAGCTGTACGCCGCCGGAACAGCGTGCGAGTGATGCCAAACCCCGATGCGGGGTTTAAGGGCAGGGGCACTGAAAACACACCGGGACCTGCAGCTCGCCTTGCACATGGAGCAAGAGAGATTTGCTCAGGAACAATAACTCTGGGCAAATCTACTGCAGGACTGGGCACTTAAAGCATTGATTCCAGCATTCCTATCCCTGGAAGTGTTCAAGACGGGGTTGGATGGGGCCCTGAGCAGCATGATCTAGTGGGTGGTACCCCTGCCATGGCAGGGGGTTGGAACTAGGTCATCCTTAAGGTCCGCTTCGACCCAAATCGTTCTGTGAATCTGTGGTTGACTGCAGGTGCTCTGTGTGAATCAACACGCAATCCTCACCGGTTAAAACGTCTTAAGGACACGCAGATTTAGCACCGCTCTTCCCCCCTCCTCGCTCTTCTGTTTTGAACTGAGGGTTACCAGCGCACAGGCTCCTTTAACTGCAGCCCTTGCCGTTGGTCTTTTCCACACCCCCAGCTCCGTCGGCTGTGGGAAACGCTTTGCAACCTACTCGGTCTGAGCTCTCGGGAGCAGACCTTCCCTCCCGTGAGCGTGTTCCTGCGTGCCCCCGCCGGCGCGGAGCGCTTCCCTGCCCTGGCGCAGCGCAGCCAGGAGCCCCGCGGGTGCTGCGGCCGCCTCTTACCCCCTGCAGCCTCCCCGCTCCGCAGCCGCCCCGGCGCGGCCGCTCGGCTTCACTGACACGCCGTCAGTTCCGCGCTGTGAGCCCAGCGGCCCGCAGGGATGCGCGCAGCGGCGCGGCTGTGCCCGCAGGGCGCGGCTCTCCGCGCCCCCGCCGCCCCACGAGGTGCCCGCGGCGGGGCAGGGCCCGGCCGTGCTCACCCGCACCGGAGGGGCAGGGCTCTGACCCGGGCACGTCCTGAGCAGTGACATCCGAGGGTCGTCCAGCGATCCTAGGGGACACGCTGCGGGGAATAAATGAATGAGTGAACGGGATTCACTAACATCTTGCTTCCCGTGCCCCGTGACAGGCATCCACAGGGTAGGGAAAGGTGGCATCTTATTTATCTTGAAGAAACCCCTCTATTATTTCTAAGTGTTTTCCTCTGTAACACATATTTTTCCTGACATTTTGCGCTGCATTTGAAATAGGTGTATTGGGGTTATTTCAACCTCCTTGAACTGCAAATGACAAGGCCAGAGCAGTGGTATGCCACTGAAGAACACATTCCCCACCACCTTCCTATTGCCTATTTTGATCCAAAGAAAATAAAGTAGTCGAAATGCTTGCCATTAAGGGGAAAAAAATTTAAAAAGGCATGGCTTTTGAAATAACATGATGATAACAGATATTCATCAAAGATCAAAGAGCGTGCTTGAGGATCAGAGGTGTAAACTGAGACATGAAAGAGGGCCCTCCTTCGTCCTGTTTGCAAGAAGAAAACTCCATTGTACAATTGCATCACTCCGATTCACAGTGTACTTTTATTTAAGGTGATTCATAAATGCTTTGAACTCTCTCCGATAGCTTTGTGGAGAACTTTTATTACTGGGAAGTGTTTTATGGAGGATATTATTTACTTAGGAGTGAAAATCTG